TATGTTTTAAAACATGGTTAAGCTAAAATGTCAAAACTCATGTGTTTACATTTTTATGTTTTGGACTATTTTACAAAACAATGATATCTTTCATTTGGGAGGTCCTTTTTAAAAACTAGTTTTTGTAACATGTATATTATCATGTTTACAATCATTTCTCAAAGTTTTCTATTTTTCTGATTTTATTTGTTATTTTTAAAAGAGGTTTGAAAATCAGATTTCTGTTTAAAACAGACAATGTGCATGCCTTGAGTCGACTCATGAACAGTGTTGAGTTGACTCATAAACTATTGTGTAGTTTACATTTTGTTTCTGACGAGTCGACTCATAACATCATGAGTCGACCCATCAGGTTGAGTCGACTCATGCCTGTCATAAGTCGACTCACAAACTGTACTGGAAAGTATGTTTTGTTTCTGCTGAGTCAACCCATGACTTGATGAGTCGACCCATGCATGATGAGTCAACTCATGAATTTTATGAGTCGACCCATAAGTTATTTTTAGCCTGTAACGGCTAGTTATGAGTCGACTCATGAACAGTGACGAGTCGACCCATAACACTATAATGGCTATATTTGTACAGAATCAGATTTCTGATTCTTGGGCTTTTTGGTCTTTCCCTTTGGGGTTTTTGGCTGAGGTTTTGGGTGGCTATATATACCCCCTTGCTCTCATTCTTTAAACATCCAAGAAAAGTTTAAACAAGTTTTTTAAAGGGTGTTTAAGTGTGTTTAAGTTTGGTTTAAAGTTTGTTTGGTTTGTGAAAAAGTTTTCACAAGTGGAGGAGATCATCTACATTATTTGAGCTTCACTTTAATCCATCTCTCCATCTTGTTTTTCAGAGATGAATATCTAAACTCAATATTAGATTTGTATTAGTTATTTGTTATTTATCATTTTCATCAAGCTAGGGTTTACATTGAGTTTATGATTGATTTTCTCATTGCTTACACACACAACTATTGAGCTTATTCTATTTGCATACATTGTATAATTGGGTTGTGGGGAATTGTAACAATTGAGAGTGAGCTTCATTGAATTCTCATCTATTGTAGAGAACAAATTTGTATTTGTGAGCCTTAGTTGTGTACATCACTTTGTAATACACTTGTACACCGAGAGGAGTGTGTGGTGAGAGACGAGGTCATCTCAAGAGGAGTGCAGTAGGTGGTAATACCTAGAAAGAGATTGTAATTCCTAACACTTGAGGGAGACACGGACTAGAGACCAACACTTAAGAGGGTGTAAAGTGGGTTTGTAAATGTGTGAGTTGCAAAGTTTTCGATGAACTAGAAAACCAAGTGTGTCGGTGTAAACGTTATTCGGGTGAGCGTAGAAAACCCGGTTGTGATAGTGGATTTCTCCCCGGGAGTGAGGAGCGGAGACGTAGGACGGAAGGTCCGAACTCCGTGATCATATCGTGTGTTTGAGTTTGCATTGGCGTACTTACTCTTATGTTTATATTTCTTGTTGCCGTTGTCCATTGCTCATTATTTATATCATCCACTATTTTGTTTATCTTATTTACCCTTGTGTATATCACTTATCCTAGCTCACATATCTTGTTGTATTTTATATTTGCTAAGATAACTTGTTAATTAGTTTTAATTGGCATAAAATCGGATTAGATTAACATAAGACCCTAATCACCCCCCCCCCCCCCCCCCCCCTTAGGGTCCAACATCTTGAACTTGGCACATAGAGAGTTCATGATCCAGTCAGCGAGTGGAATGTTTTCTCCGATGATGTCTGCAATGGTGTTAAACGTTCGGTGGCAATCAGATGCAAGATTAGTGGTAGAGTGACCTGAAGCAACATGAGGGTATCTAGGGCCACGCGATGCTGTCCATGCAGTGCGATCATGGCCGCCATAGACGAAGTTAGGACTTTCCCACATCGCCTCTACGTGCCTATTATCGAGGAGGAGCGGCGAAACAAGTCTGCTGGCGATGCGAGAGAGAGGTGTACACAACTTAATCCTCCTGTGCTCGTTGTTCAGCCTGACCTGTTAGAGGAGGAGTAGGAACGAATGCCTGACCCACAAAAGAAGGAGGAACGAACGACAGAGAAGGATGTTGGGGAGGAATCTAGCTGAGGAGTTTGTTCGTGGAGGAAGTGAATTGTTGCTAAAGAAATTGGAAAATTTCTTTGGGCGGACTCCCCTAGTTAGGCTTGAGTGACATTACCCACATGTGTTTCTTTAATGGATGGGATGGAAGATCGGCCTGGATGATTGGAACCAATCAACTTGTATAAAGAAGAAAAAGAAGCCCCATGATAGGCGCCAAACTGTTAATTTCAGTTATCAAACAGGGGATTAAGTATGGATATTTTGTGTATTAGGGTTCCTCAATCTTCTTTAGATCGTTGGTTCTACACATGAACAACTATCTGAAGAAGATTGAGGGATCTGGTCCTACACATGAACAACACGTGAGAGGGTCGGAGTTGGGATCTCCGGTAGTTTGTTCGCTGATCAAGTCAGTAATGCGCTTGAGTGGAGAAGAAGAACGATTATAATGTGTTTATTAGCAAGAGATTGTTTACCCTTATGTAGTTGATAGTGCATATATTTATAGCATGTCTAGAGAGGCAATTACGTAAATTTGGTCGAGTCCAAGCAGGCAGCTTAATTGGTAGATACTTTGCAGGTGTCTGCTGCAGATGAGATGATTCATCTCTGTAATTAATATGATGATGACGAGGGAAGCATGGTGCTGACAAAATCTGATGAATCATAAAGATTTTCGTGGCTGGAGCAACGATAATTCTGACAATACATACAATGTGATGGAGATTGACTGTCGACAAGGAACTCGAGGATAAACCGCCTTTCGTTTTGGCCTGGCGAGCAGACCGATGAATGACGCCTTTTTACTCAGTCATATTGGATTCAGAAGTTCTCGACCCAACCTTGGAGGATGAAGAGGAGTAGGGCCGACCCTAACAGTGAGTTTCGAGTAAGCACACCTTTTGAAGTAAGAGTAACATTACCCTTTAAATTTTCCGTTAGCATTCTAAACATACTACATCAAATGAAAAGTAGATTGATTGCATTTTAAATTCAAATTTAGATAATTTGAGCCGGAGCTCTTTTTCCTTAGGGAGCTTAGACTTTAAAAAATTCAAAATAAAGATGTGGATGTCATTTATTTTAAAAATTAAATTCAAAATTATATAGATTTGAAGATTTGGTATGGACTGAAGAATACATTGAGTTAGACCCTATAACATGAAATAATCAAATAAAACGTTAAAGTTAGATGAGATATCAGGCCCATATTGATATAATGAAATAAATTTTTATTTCTATAATAATCCTAAGATTTATTAGAATTTCAACTAAGAAAATCACATAAAATAGGAGGACTCGAGATAATAATTCGGATAATTTGTATGACCTATTTGTTTATGTTTTGCGGATCTTAGGGAATATTTTTGTAATACAAAAGTTCTTAATTTTCACACAAGAAAACTATTTAAATATTTTACATGCTATATGTTTTTCTCAAAGACAATTTAAATATTTTACATGCTATATGTTTTTCTCAAAGACAATTTAAATATTTTACATGCTATATGTTTTTCTCAAAGATAGGATCTTATGTCCTATTATTATTGTAAAGAGGGATACACAGATGATATATCGCTCTTTGTAAAAATCAACACAGCAAAAAATTAACTAATCAGATAATTCTGTTTAAGAGAAAAACTAATCCATCAACTTTAAATATAATTTTACATGTGTACAATTTTGCATACAATTTTGCATATAAGACTTTACGTACAATGACTTTCTACATAATTGTTTTCTTTAATTTTTATATCTATATATATGATTATGAGACTTTTTTGATTATAACATAATTTATAATTTGGTTAGAATTATTAAATATTTAATTATTAAACTTTTTTAATTATGAATAATTTTAATTTAATGATAATTATTAAGTATCCATATATCATCTTGTGAAAATAGAATAGAAAAACATGTGGC